AGTGAGTTCTGAAGCAGATAACACTACTATTGGTGGAACACTCGGTGGGTAGATTTCTACGCCCAGCCTTCCGATTTTCATCCTAGACGAATCGAGTACGCAGATGGGAGAAGGGCTTGGCCGAAGTGGAGTGATATCAACGTGACTGACACCTTTCTAGGCCTCTGAAACACGGTGTGTAACCGAAACGTCAGGCATAAAGTGTATCGCTTTTTCCACTTATCGCAATTAAAAGAATTTGAAGCAGGCTAGGCATTCCACTCTTTCAAATAAAAAAAATAGCCCAAGTCGACAAGTAGTCTTAATGCCAATTATTAGGGTGAACGAAAAAAATGGAACATTTGGAGGATATCTGCAGATTTTGCGCGAAGAAAACTGATCAGACGCTATAATATTGAGAAGAGATGTGAGGACATGTTATTCTTGTTCAGCAGTATCTACATGAGGTCATTTTTATGTACAATAGTTTCTATGCTTGCTGAATTGCGAAGTCAATCACACCTCTTATGAAGCATTAGCAGCATTTGCGCAGTAAAACAAGTGAGACTATTCAAAGTACCACTGCTGCAATGAATGAGGGGATAGTCACCAGACCTAAGATGGCTCGATGGTATCAGTGCTTGGATTTAGGAGATATTGTCATAAGCCTTTTTGAGACCCGACATTCTTTGTACTAGATTGAGTCAAAAGTAACAACAACTTTACCCTCTATTCAAAATTTTACGCGAATTGGGAAGAATACTCATAGGTAAGCGCTCTAAACTGTACTAGATGCAGCTCTTCTGCCTCTTTCAAGCAATGTTGTCCTCGGACTAATTTCCATCATAATTGCTGAAAAAAAATTTTGAATCCACTTTTGACGTCTGTAACTTGTAACTTTGGCTAATCTCAAAATTTTCATTTCTAAGCTCTTAGAAAAATCAGACTACTTGAAAGGAAGCAAACCTTGTTTAATGCAAATCTTTTGAGTCTCTCGGAAATTGTTCTGGGGCTTTCGAGAAAACCTTTGATTTCTGAAAAACTGGTACAACGAAATGCTTTGTACTCCGCAAAACCTTTGGAATCCGGAAGCTAATCGTTTATTATCATAGTCTGGTTTTACAAAGTGATTGAACATCTACTGCTTCAGAACATCTTGAGCACAGCTACCACAACTCTAGATTTTCAACATGAGACGCTTTGAGTTCAAAACTTCTGCAGTTATTCAAGAATAATGGGAATTTGGTTGGAAATCATAGCTGCTGGAAAAAGAAAGAGAAACTGCGTTGGACAGAGTTTAGAACATTTGTCTATCGCTATTCTATTGGGTTGTCCGGAAATCAATGCAGGTTCTAAGTTTGAGATGAAACGCAGACCAGCACATTCGCCTTGGAAAGATTCTGAATCTGACTTCCGTTTTTTGTTAATCTTTCCTCTAAAAGAACTTATGAAGGATTTTTGCGTCAATGGTCGCACAAGAGAAATACGGTCAAGGATGTCTAACTTTCAAAGAAAAAGCTTGATTAAGGTAATCCAAAAATGAGAATTACAAGTGGAGTTGTACTCAGACCTGCATTAAATTGTAAGGCTATCGCATTAGCCGCAACACCACATCGTAGCGGCGGTTTTTGCATTCCAACCATACTTCCTTTTTTTAGAGTAACTAATAGCAAAAACGGAGATCAGATTCGTAATCAGCGCTCTAAGGCAAGTGTCCAAAATTCATCGCAATAGGACATCTCAGCGATTCTCCCAACAAGACAAACAGTTACGAGTCTATTGCATGCCGGTCATCTTGCATTTCGATTGTAATAGTTCTCCAACACGACCAACCGGTGCTACTATCACAATCGAAATGCAAGATAAAGGACGTGAATGAACTCGTAACTAATTGTCTTGTTGGGGGAATCGCGGCGTTGAAATCGCGTGAACCGAGGCCTTACGCGATCGCTGCAGTGAGTGTTAATATAAAGATGTGAAAAGCATATCATTTAAAAGGCAAAAAGTCTCTACAAAACTGCGTTAAACGACCGCAGAAAGCTTGATTTACATGAAGTTTGAAAGAATTCGAAAAAAATTGAAGTACCCAAAAATTAGACCTCTGTCCGAAAAGATCCTGCGGACCTCCGATTTGGTCACTCATATGCTCCCTACACCAAACATTCATGTGCACGTTTACCGCATTTTTACAATGACTGAATGTTGAAAAATTAAAATGGTTCGAAAATGCAAGATTTTAGCTTTTTTCGGAGTTTTTATGTTACACTTAGTAATTCCCGAGAACTTATAGAAGCTGAAAATCTACAGTTGTACTTCCAAGGGTTTGCAGTATAGAGGGTGTCCCAAAAGTATGTATGCACTGTTTGATCGTTAATATCTCTCTTCCCAAGAAGTCTTTTACCTTGCTTCAGGTACCGTTTTGTAGAGCTGGCTTCAACTTAGATTTGCATTATAGAACGAATCATCCATCTCTCTTCATTGCTGTAAGATTACGGTAGAAACTTGAAACATATGGTGTCAATGTGGAAAAAGCTGCCAATTCAGAATTTTTCAAAAAAATGTGAAAACTTGTGTAATAGGGTTTTGTGGACGCTGAGTTCAATACTCAACTATTCACAAGATTACGAAGCTTTCTAGACGGTGTAACCGCGCTTTTTAGAAACATTGAAAAATGGCCGCTACCTCTTACCCGGCATAAGTCTTCAATGAAGCATCATAATGAGTTGAGAACTTTACAATCAGAATCAACAGCTCTAGTTAGCCTAGTGTAAAAGCTTTCAGGCTGTTTTATTTCCTTTCTGAGGCAAAATATGTCCTTTCATTGCTCAAAACCATCTTTGAAATTTCTACCGTAATCCTACAGTAATGAAGAGAGATGGGTGATTCGTTTCATAACGCAAATCTAAGTTGAAGCCAGCTCTACAAAACGGTACCTGAAGCAAGGCAAAACAGTGCATACTGCATACATACTTTTGGGATACCCTGTAGAACTATCTACCTATATTAGAATGGCTCAGCATTGCATTTGCTAGGGCATCCACTTTCTTTTTCAGTTTCTAACCGTAGAAAAAATATCGCAGTTGTACATATGAACGTTTGATGTGGACAGTATATGCCGAACCAAGTCGATCTCAGAATTTTTAGACGGATATCTGATGTTTGGGTGTCTGGTTTTTTGGTTTTTGCTTTCTTACTTTACGCGGATTAAAGTTTTTGCGATCGTGCGAGTGCAGTCTTGTAGAGGTTACATTGCTCTAGCAAATGATATGTTTCCCACATTTTCATACACTGCTGCGATTGAGGAGCCTGCAGTGATTTCCGGACAACCTGATGTTTCATTTCATGGGTACAAGAAAAGGTGTAAAGTTCTCATTATTTTGATTACCCTAGAATTTCTTTGCAAGTAAAAGCACATTTTCGGCAACAAAGTTATTTAAGCTTTATCTTCATGTGCAGTTCACATATTTTCTAGCCAATATCCGGTAGAGTCTATGATTTTTTGGTTTTCATTATGCAATTTTGCGAAACTGCAATTTTTCAAATTTTTTGTCTTTTTGACCTGAAAACAAAGAAATTTCGGATTGTCAATACACCATTCGAAAGATCTTTAAGCGCTCTTACAAATGTTAGTCACCACTTGCATCATAACTTTGCCCTATAGCAGCGCAAAACTGAGAGATGTTTCGAAAAATTATTCGAGTTTTTCAGAGCACCATGCCGTGACTTTGAGGAAGAGCGATGCTAGAATAATATACGAAGGTCCTAATGTAAGTTACTTTTGAGTTGCAGCCTGCTTATTGTTGGTCGGAACAAACATTCTCAAATGTGATGAAATCAATCAGTCCATTACCGTTCAGATGCTAAAAAACGTCAATATATTCTGGGCATGCGCGAATGTTGTTTCCTTTATAGTAACATCATACTTTTCCGAGTGGTAATACAGCAAATTCATATCTTGCAAATTTGGCGAAACGCGTGTATTCGTGGGTACCAACTGCATTGCAAGAAAAGACTTGAAATAAACTTTTTTTGCGTTTAGCCAATTCGTTTCGTTTCATATATTTAAGTCATAATGAAAGAATCAAGGTTTGGAAATGCAATGATAGAGCTATTGTTGACATTATCCAGTCTATTTGAAACTTCTAATCGCAACGCAATCAGCTGCTCATTTCACAGGTTGCTTTTCTGAAGTGGTCCAGTATAAAAATATTTCTCTTATTTAGCAATGAACTGGTCCAGCTACAGTTTATTTGAGAAAGAATTCCAAGAGCAAACAAAACTTGTTGAAGTTCGCTCAATATGTAAACGAACTTTTGTGCAAAAACTTTTCTGTAGATCTGATGCGAGCCACTAAAGCAAACACTGAACATGTGATCGGACGAGATGATCGCAAACAAAGCAATGATTATGTCTCACATATATCTTGGCTTAATCTGCCATACCTAGTTTCAACGTCAATTTCGTACAACCTACTGATTTTCAGGAGAATACAATGAGCGAGGAGTGTTGAGCAGATCCCACAAAAAATGTAAAACCAGTGCTAAAACCATTCCTGCTCAAGTAACGCTGTACGTTGTTTTTTAGTGTGTCATCTTTACTATCCATGCCCAAAACTCTTTACTGTTAGCAGCGGATTTCTCCATGCTGCATAATTGCGTTTATGTCATGTAAGCAATTTTTTGGCATCGCGAAGATTTTACTCGTGTTTTTTAAACCAACATGGATTGTGAAGCTAGGGAGAGGGAGAGAAAGAGAGCTGTTCAAGAATTTTTTTGTAAATCTTCAAGTAAGTACTAGGTCGCATAAATTCCCCTATCTAATTGATCGACTTGGAACTGATTGTTTACTAATCTTTGAACATTTCCGACTGTATTTGATATGGTTTAGAGCAAAAATGAATGCCTTTAGAATTTGCACATATGCTGATGACTTCTGCGAAATAATCACATTTCTACTCGCCAGAATAATTAGTCATTCCAGTCTTTTGAAAATAGTCAGACAAATAGCGAGCTTAACTTTTCGAGGCAGTGAGCAATCTCAGCTTCACGTCACTCGGCACCTCCGTTGCCAAACACGAAAGCCGGTTTACCAGCGTTTGCGACCCCTCCACTATAAGAGCCCAGAAGTCTTCCATTTACTTTTGCAGTGATGTCTACTCAGACGTTGTTCTTATTGGCAAGTAAGTATTTGAAAACTTCCACGTTACTACGTTTTTTGCCATAGTAGAATCATGATGTCCGCCTTCTGTTATGCAAAATCTTTCGCATTTGACGGCCTACACCTACGTCACTCAATTTTCCTTCTCTTTGGATGCTTGTCCCTGATGTGTGGCACTGACATAAGATCAATTGGGGTGGCAGAGAAAGCCAGCTCGATGGCGCACTTCCTCCTTCGATTGTGGCATATTGGAATTACCCTTCAGAATACAAGCGCGTTGTCAAAGAGATAGTAACTGAATTATACCATATCAACTATTAAGTTGTCTTATAAAATTCTGCATATTCGAATCTTTGGATCAATATTATTCAAAAACTAGGGCACCTACGAGGGAAATTGTGGCAGATTACTAATTGAATAAGCTATATAAAAAATATGTTGTAGGAGTCCAGGAACGCTAAACAAAGTTTGCTAAACTAGAACCAACACTTTTTTCTAATTTCTAGCCATTGAAAATTATACAGTATGTTTGTATTGTTTGTATACTAATATCTGATGGGATGAGCACGAGCGAGTAGAAAATTCGCAGAAATTTCCTGAATTATAGTACGAATTTTTGGTTTTTTTTGGAAATTTGGAACTTTCCATATCTTAACTTGAAAGCTTTATGCGCATTCAGTTGGTGCAAACTTTCGAAAGGAATTTTGTTGAGCTTTTTTGATTTATCGAATGGTGTCCCGAAGTATCAAGTATATAAGAAGAATTGATATGTTGGTGAAAAGTCGAATATGAAAAGGTTTATGGGACAACATGAGGGTTTGATTCATAATTGCACCAGAATAAAAATTCACCTAAAAAATAGTTTAAACGATGTTTGAGCCCATATTCGTGTCTTTTGTAATCTCCAGCATGCTCTCTATTTCACTAGAAATTTTATTAAAATTGAAGTGTTGAAATAAAAGTGGGAAATCATAACTATTTGTAGAAACATAATCACCACACTAATACTCCAAAAGTGAGTTGTAAACAAAATTACCTAGATTTTATTGGACCGTCTAGAATTTTTAGAAACCAAAATTCGAAACCACGATTTGAATGTTTTTCTTGATCAGTTTGTATTATTGTGATAGACGAATAGAATTCCTACTTGAGCACTTTTAGAAGTAGCATGATTTTTTTCTTTACAAGTCATGTTAAAGTGAACCAATTCGTCCAAAGCGCAAATACCTACTAATTTTTAAAGAGTAGTGGAGAACTTATGGATCACCCATTGAACGTGAGCAATATCGTACAAAACAAATGGTAAAGCTGTGAGTTTCTTTTGTGAGTACGAGCCAAGAGTTTGTGATTGATCGTAAAGAAGCAAATTAGCTAATACGTATGTAACAGTGGCGTACCGATGGGATCGAAATTTGAAAGTTACCTACATGAGTTGTAAAAATGTGCAAATGACTTGTTTATTCTTGTAAACAATTGATTAATCTTTAAAGTCTTCTAAAAATCAATTTAGCCTTTCAAAAATTTTTTTCGGGGGCTGCCCCCCCCCCCGAGCAAAATTCCTGGGTACGCCAGATGTAATTGACAACAGATGAATCATAAAGCAAAGAGATTACGCGCAGCCTTCTGTTTGCGCAGAGGTCAAAGATGCGTTTCAGCGTACAAGTGCCCTGTAAATGTTAGCTGAAATCTTCCTGATCTCGTTTTTTTTGAGAGAATTTTTTCAGCGTTCTTCTATGCTTCGAACGAGTTCATAGCAAAGAGGCAGTCAGGGTGAGTGAGTTGCTTAAAACAGTAAGCATTCAAACTTCTCAAAAATTTTCAAAGTTACGTTGCAACGGATAATATCTATGGCTACGACTATCGCTCCTCGCCATCCGATGAGAATCCTGCACGTCTTATAGTGAATCCCAACTACGCCTTTTTGAATGACAGCTTGTCCTCTGGTTATTCTCAAAATTACGTAAAGGCTGAAACCGCCTACGCACACAGTTCCGGCGGTCTGTTCAAAAATTGTAGCATTTTTTAACTTTTATTTTGTCGGATTAGTTCCCTGATTCAGTTGGTAATGCTCCGAGCACATTTCTTATGAACGATGCCCTTCTAAGCAATGATCAGCAGAATTCTATAAACTATCAAAGAATCCAACAGGTGGGTGAAGCATAATTTACACAGAAATTGAAGCAAAATCTTCCCGCTTGTAAAATCCGAGTTGTTCAGACGACATATAATCGCCCTAGCTCGGCTCAACAATATCCCGATAACATCTACGGATACGCTTATTCGGGTAGGACGCTGGTTTTCCCCTAAGATGCTAAATGAGGAGATTCTACTGGCGCATTTGCAAGCAGTAAATCTCGGCTTTCCAAGTTTACAAGATATTTCAGACACTCCCGTTCGATCTGGCCCACAAATTCAACGTGGACAAACAACGACACCGCCGAGTTACACACAGGTAAAAACAAATTTCAGGATCTGTGAGATGGCTTGATTCGAAATAGAATTTTACAAATTACTAAATCCATTATGTTCATATTTGAAGCTAATCCCTTAGAAAATTGTCTACCGCTGTATATAAATTTATTAAGCAGAGTATCCAACTTCAATTTACGCAACTAGCGAGAGTTGGCGATTAGCAGCCACGTCAAAGGGATTTATAGCTAGTGAACTTCAACTTAGCGTTGATTTTCCTTTCAATGTCGGCTTAGCTTGAATTTTCGTAGGTTCATCTTCAATCATCTAGAGAATAGCTCAATTGATGGTTAGAGAAAAACAACATAAACCAAGACATACTGCCAAGCTTTAGACTCAGATACTCATGTTTTTGTCAAATGCTAAGCTGTTCCACACCTTACAGCGTCAAGCGTTTTCCGAGTGCTTTCAATTGGATCCTATATCTATGAACACGATTTGTGAATGCCATAAATCAGGTGCGATTCTTATTGCCAGATGGAGACCAAATAGCAAATAATAGGCGTTCTATAACATTCTAAAAGTATTTAAACTTTATAAGGAGGTGTATTAGATGGTTGCATGAGTTGCTCATCTTGCTACCTTGGAATGAATTCAAAACAGCAACTTTGAAAGTGAAAAACCAACAAATTTGCAATAAAGGATATTCGTAGATATTTCGGTCCGTTTTCTAGCGAAAGCCACCAAGTTCGGACGGATAGTAAGCCAATGCACTTTATCTATTACTATTTGAAGACTCGCATAGCACTAAATTGGAGTTTTGAATTGGCGACAGCAGGAGTCGTCCCTTTTGACCGTTTCTCCGATTTTTTTAACGCTAAAATTGGTTAAGTTTACGAAAGGCAAATAAGAGAGAATTATTGTGAGCCGCAAGAACAAAGTGTCACCTATCAAAACTTAGCCAGAGTGGTAAGCGTTCTTACAGTCTAGATTGAAATAAATGACAATTATTTCGAAAGAATTCGGCTAAAAGAGATAGCGCACTAACGACTGCGCAAGCAGGAATAATCGATGTTTTTTTTTTGAGAACATTGCATTTACATACTTTCCAATTACCTCATTACTTTTCATTCACACTGCTATGCATTTGATTTGGCGTTCGTTCTCGGTCATGTTCCATCAACATGATCTGTTGCGCAGCATTCTGCTTCGAATTGGGCTTCAGTTATCATCCATATTTCCACGGCCTCTTTCCACATGTTCGATCATTCTCGTGAGCGACCAGATGTTAACATTAACGTTTCGGGTCAAACTATGCAAGTATTGGAAATTCGTAAGTATTGAACTGTGAAGTGCTTATGAGAGACTTAAAAGCATTGGTTCACTCAACAGAAATCAGTTTATGGAACATTCTGTTCTTGTAAGTGCAAAATTGTTTATTATCTTACTATTAGAGAGAATGAGTAGTAGAAAAAGCAGGTGTTTCTTTATTACAGCGTGATTGTGCTATTTTCATTTCAAGATCTACTCAGGTACTGCTATCTGCTCTCATCTCAAGGTTTCCACTTAATTCTTGAACTTTTTACTATCTAGGTTCCTCCAGCATTGCAAACTGTCGGTTCTCAAACAAGAACTGCTCCATATCAAAGCGTCGCGGACTTGAAGACAACAAGGTTGCGTGATCCTTCTAGGAACACCTTATACTTTGATTCTATGGCTAGCTCCTCAAACGCTGAAAGTTCCAATCAAGCGATGTATTATCCATACAGGTAAATTGCTCAAATTTTTCTGTAGCAAACTTATTGATTGGTAATGCAAAAGAAAATGAGCTGCAATGTTGCTTATTTGGCAACAGAACAGCGACACAAAACGTCGGTGTACAGGGCAGTGGAGGTAGTGGAGTAACAGTAATGCAGTACGATGGCAGTCAGATGGTTGCATCCACATTATTCAGAGATCCGAACACGGGTGAGCAAAACTCCGTGTTTCAATCCTAGTCATATCCTGAGTAATGCTACTCTGTTTGAGATCCCTGCTCTTTGCCTGATCCATATTGGTGCAGTGATTATGTGAAAATCTACCTTAATAGTACCACCACTTTTGGTGGATTTTCTAGACAGGTATAAGGTTTCTTCTACAACCATGCCTTGCATATCGATAATGTTATTTTACAGGCTGCCTGCCAGCCACTAGCAATGTCACTTCAAGACTCCTATAACGGTTGCTGTCAGACTTTGCGAGCAGCAGGGTGCAGAACATGAGTATTATACTGAAACTCTGCCCTCCACCCTCATCTTGCCTTGTTCATAATTTCAGATGGTCATAAAGATAGTTGTTGTTGCGATGTATACAGGGTGTCCCAAAAGTAAGTACACATTTTTAAATCGTTAATACCTCTCTTCCCATTGTGTCTTTTTCCGCCATTCAAGTACCATTCTGTAGAGGAGACTTCAACCTAGAGTTGCAATATCGATCGAATCATCGGTCGCTCTTCATTACTGTAGGACTACTGTAGGAAGTTCGACAAGGATTTTGGGTTACATTGGAAGCCATCGCCTGGGAACAAAACCAAACACGCCAAAAACTCTTACTCTATGGTAATGGAAGCCGCAGATTTTGAATATAAAACTTCCACTTCACTGTGATGCTTCTTTCCAAAGACCGAATTCTCGGTATTCGTCAGAAATGTGATTACACCGTCAAAAAGCTGAAAATACTCGTAAAAAGTTGTGTAGTGGAATCAGCGTGCGCGAAAACCTAGTACACGATTTTCCAGATTTTTTGAAAAGAATTTTGTTATATGGCATATTTCACAATGGTTCCACATGGAAGTTCTTACCGCAATCCTACAGTAACGAAGGGCGATTGGTGAGTGGATGGATACTGTGAATCTAAGTTGAAGCCTCCTCTACAGAATGGTGCGTGACTGGCAAAAAAGACCCACTGGGAAGAGAAATATTGACGATTGAAAAGTGTGTACTTACTTTTGGGACACCCTGTATTTTGCTCTGATACGATAATACACTTTTCTCAATGAGTTATCTGCTAGAGCACCTTTACACGTAGCGCAGCGTCATCGTCGCAGATTAGTGAGCTAGGACGCCACGCGCAAAAGTTCCACGTAAAACAGTTTTTTTTTGCGGATTAGACAAAACACCTGGGTACAGACAACATGTGTTCAAAATACTTCAAAATATCCAAGAACCTTCGACATGACAATGGCATGCAAAACATGGAAATTCTGAAATTTTAAAATATCACAGAACTAACAAAACAGTTGAAACAAAAACAAAACAAAACAATAACAGTTTGAAAAGTGCGATTGCTATTTTAATAGCTACACACCAAATGATTTCCTTCCCTCTCAGGTAGAAAAAACATTTGACGCAGAACCAATGAAGAGCAGAACAATAAAATAATAAGAATAGCATGCAACAAGCAATTGCGACCAAGGCTGGCAAAATAATGGTGAGAGGCTGACCTGCGACTTATGTAACTAAGCCAAAACCGCACAAAAAGCAAAAAAAATCTGGCTGTGTAGGATTTTGGGATGTATGATAGTAAAAACGAACTCATATGTTTTTGATTTGAAAGCAAAACATAGCAATAACGGCCTAGAAGAATAAATTGCTGCCTAGCCAATTGTGTTGATGAGCTGTTGGGGTGCGGGAAGTTTCTTACCCGAGCCATATTCTCGCACCTAGATGTGCCTGCCAGGCACATCCGGGCTCGCTACAATTACGAGCTCCTCATGAGATCAAGACATCGCAAGCCCCCCCCCCCACCCTCATCCAGTGTCGCTCCAGATGCTGAAAGCGGAATTTTAAAGAAACTTCAAAAATTGAAATTCATAAGTGTTGCTCCAATCAAGACCAAATTTCGAATTTAGGAGTTTTCGAGGTTGTTCTTTTCAGTATTAAAATTTATTTGTTGCAAAGTCAACGTTCAGCACCGATAATGCTTAACAAAGATCAAAATTCGGATATAGAGGTTTTCGAAATTTCCTATTTCAAGAAAAGACCAAAATTCAGGGTTAAGAGTTTTCGCAAATTTATGAATGAATAATTAAACATCCGTAGCGTGGATTTTTACGAAACTAGCTTGCTTACCCGGCTCCGCTCGGCCCTGTCAAGACAGTGTAATAAAGGTCCCATCCCTACCCCTGTACAGCCTTTCCCTGTGCCTACTTCTACACTTCCTTTCCCAGTCCCTGTGCTGTTTTCGAAATCAGCATGCCCACTTACCCCCCACCCCGTGCCAACTCCCAGCCCTTCAGCTCAAATTTTGAAAAAATCGATAAAAACAATAAAAGTAATAGGTAATGCCAAAAACTGCTATTGCACAATCAGCATGCTCGATTACCCCCTGTGCCAATTCCCAGCCCTGTAGCTCAAACTTTGCAAAAAATCGATAAAATCAATAAAAGTAATCGATAATTCTGAAAACTGAAGCAAACTTTAAACTGGCATGTGTGAGAAAATAAGTTAAATTCAACTATGAACAAAATTTCTGGAATTTCAAAGTAGCCCGAGTTTATTTCAAAATTCCAAAATCGATTCGCCTTGACAGCATATTTGCGATCCACGACTTGGAAATTTGCCAAAGAGATGATTTAAAGTGTGAACTGGAAACCGATCAGCATGCATTGAGTAAGACCAAAATTATCCTTGGGCAAACAAGGGCAGAAAACAGTTAATGCCGAATGTTTTTTATGAACAGCGGAAGAATATTTTTAGGTCTGCTATGAAGCTTTCTGGCATTGAGCTAGCCTCAATGACCTCAGCAACCTCTGATATATCAGGTTTCAAGAAATACTTGGCTGGGTCATCATCAGCGCTGTACCTTGACTATTCTTAAGACTGAATTCAAGGAGAGAAAACACTGCGGAATCACATACGTATTCCTGCATCTGGCTTTTTAATTTTATGGAAGTATTCGGTTTCCGTGAGAAAAACAAACAAACCTAGTGACGTGCGCCTACCTTGCGCATAAGACGAAACTCGGCGTACTCGACCCGTAGTCGGTTGCGCCTTCCTGCGTTTCCAATGACGTGCTCGTACTAGAACAAGGAGAGCACGTCCTACAGTCACAACGTCCATCAATTTCACTCAGCGGCCGTGCTAAGAGATAGCCGCCGGACGCTGCAGAAACGACACGTACTGGGTTGCGATGTTTCGAAAGTTGCGACCATCATCGGGAATTACTACGAGCTCTGAGTGCTTGAATACCTCCACCATACTTATGTTATTATGGCTCTTACATCGGCTCGTTTTCCTGCAATGAATATCTGAAAGACTTAGATCGTGTGCGTTTTCCGTGCACATACTTGTGCTTTTGCTGGGGGATGAGCGCAAAAACCGAAACAGTTTAGGAAGAGCATTTGAGAGGATGTTTTTGTGATGCGTGCGCTATTTTTAAGCACAGCGAGATGGGGAATTTATGCTCTTGGAAATCTTACTGGGTTTTCAAATGTTAAGCATTATGAGAATTTGTACTTTGAACTTCTCGAAACTACTTCATTTCATATCATGAGCATTATGAGAATTCGCAAAGTGAACCTCTTCGAGGCATCCTCTATGTCATAGCAAGAAGTTCTGTTGTCTATTGAAGTATGTGACTTATATATTACCAAAGCGTCACCTGCTTCGCAGAGGCTTGCACTGGTTCTTTGTCTGTATGCCTTACTCGTTCTCGCATATTGATTGCTTTTTAAATCCAACGCACAACGCTGACGATCACATATGAATTGTGAACAACTACTCATCAAAGCCTTTTATGTAAGATCGGTAACGCCCGCCGCATGGAAGAAACTTTTTGCAAAAGAACAAATGCCAAATTGATTCGGTTGCCATAAGGACAACAAGGCCCGGCATGCGTTGGTCCGGAGTGTTTTTCTAAACAAGCCCCATGACTTGGCAAAATTTTCGAAGTTTCCTTTGGCGTCAAAATGAGGACAGAAACCCTTAATCAGTCAACATAACAATAACAAAGCGAAGAAAGGATATTTTTGGGTACTCAATAAGGGTGTCTCAAAAGTAGGTATGCACTGCTTTAAAAAGTCTCTTGCTTTAATGCCTCACGGCGAACTTTAGGTACCATTTTGTAAAGCGAGGTTCAACTTAGAATTATACAGAGTGTCTCAAAAAGATGTGCACGCTGTTTGATCGTTAATAACGCTCTTTCTTTCATGTCTTTTGCCAAGCTTGAAGTACCATTCTGTAGAGAGAGGTCCAAGTCAGATTTACAGTATGGAGCGAATCACTCACCGCTCTTCATTGCTGTAGGATTACGGTATGAACCAGCATACAGCGTCACTGTGGAATAGCTTTTTGACGAAGTTTTCAAAAAAATCTGAAAATTTGTGTGGCAGGGTTTTCAAGAGTGCTGATTTCACTACATGAGTTTTCATGAGTTTTTTGAGCTTTTTGATGGCGTATTCACATTTCTGACCGAACACTGGAGAAACAGTTGTTACCCTAAATCCGAAATAATTTATGATAAAAGCACGATACTGAAGTGCAAACTTCATATTTAAGTCAACGACTTCGACTAGTTCAGTACAAGAGTGTTTGGCTTGTTTGGTTTCCTCTCTGAGACAAAAACCGGCAGAAAACCGCAGAGTGATTGATGATTTGCTCCACACTGCTAATCTAAGTTGAACCTCTGTCTACAGAAAGGCGCCTCAAGCTCGGCAAAAGACATGAAAGCAGGAGAGTTATTAAGGATCAAACAGTGTGTACATCTTTTTGGGACACCCTGTATTAGATCGTCCCGAAGGTTCTTTCGCACCAAATTCAAAAATTCATAACTTCTGATCTGTCCAGCCGACTTGACTGCTTTAATTTTTGTATGAAAGAGTAAGTCGTGTTTTTTATACTAACATCAGCTGCTTACTAATGTTCATTTGTTGCATAGATGGCAGCGGTAGAAAAAAATTAATCAAAATTCGAATTTTTTGTAGGGTTATAAAAATCTGAAACTTGCAGTAAAAATCTGAGCAGCTGGTATTATAGCTCCTACTACATTTCATTTCATTTTCATTAAATACGCTCAAGGCGTACCACAAAAAAAACAGAAACAAACAGTGTAATTGTTAGTTTTACACAAAGCACGAATAATAACAGAACATCATATGCTTCAGGCCCAGACTTCATAAAACTAAAGAATAACGATTTAGCTTGCAAGAAGACTGCTGGATATTACGAATGTCAATGATGAGTTATATCCACAGAGATGGAACCCATGCCCCCGCGTTAGCCAGCAAACGATTTTAAGGTATTCAAACAAGCAAACGACGGCGGGTACATACCCACCGGCCTGCCGGGGAGAGCCCAAAACTCCATGA